TGTGTGTGTGTGTGTGTATGGCTGTGTGTGTGTGTGTGTGTGGCTGTATGTGTGTGTGTGTGTGTGTATAGCTGTATGCCTGCCTAGATGTTTATCACCTGGTGGCTGAAATTAAGAGATACTCATTTCACAAGTTTTGTGGCATGGCTGCTATGTGCCAGGCATGTCTGGGTGGTGAGCAAGACAGGAGAGCTGCCAATAGGCACCTACTTTTTGGTGACCCCTGTGTCTAGATAATAGTATTCCAGTGCCTGTTCTTCTGCAAAATTATGCTACTTCCACATACCCAACATTGCATTCATTTCTGCATGTCAGACATGTAATAGCGTGTTGAGAAGGACAAGATGCTCCAAGGAACTGGGTGCTGCCACCCAGTCAAGTCAAAGTGTGACTAGTCCCGGGCTGGAAAAACTGGAGATTCGAGTCTGTCTGTAAAGCCCTAAGAGTAAAGCAGGTTAAAATGTGCGTGTTCACAGAACTCCAGAACACTAGAATTTGGGGGCAGCTCCTTGGAACTTGGAAAAAGAGAAATACAGGCCAACTAACAGGCAAGGCTCCTAAATGCCAATAGTAAATTATACCACCAAGCAGGTGGCACAGATGGAAAGAGGGACTTGTCAGTGTTGCTCTGGAATGGATTATCATGAAGGTTCATCTGTGACCTTTAAAGACCAACAGTCAGGCAGGCATGACACAGGAGCTGAGGGAGACTCCTGGAGTCACCTCCATCTGAAAGACTATTTTGGTCTTCCTTGTGCCCTTTCCTGGAGAACAGAGAAGAGTCTTCTGTTTATGCCACAATCACAACCATGCCCAAATTCTCCCGGTGTCTCCTTTGACCTCTGTGTCTTGAGAACATCATGTACAAAGCTGCTTTGCTGTAATTGAAGGAAATCTCAACGTACTTATATTTACAGCTAGGTAATTTGTAGGTGTACAGTGTAACTATTAAAGCTCGGATTGACTTGAACTTGTATACCTATTTTTTGGATTCACTTGTACTTCCAATTGGTTTTTTCTTTATAGCCTG